TGTCACCACGTTTCATCTGTGATATAGTTTAGGCTTTTTTAATCGACACAGTAACAAAATACTATTCACCACGAAATTGTTAAATTTGGAAAAATATGAGCACTCTCTGTTTCGATTTTAAATGTATCGACACTAATAAATAATGCTTGTGTTCATCATCAATGATGTAATTGGCCACCTGGTAACTTGAACAAACGGAACATGAATTTTAATCGGATCTAACTACATACATCAATACTTAAGCGTTTCACTGCCTCTAGATCAACAGTAAACATGTAACAATAGCTGAGTGCTACTTTGAATACTGAGAAACTTCTCTACATCTTCTTGCCATTTTAATCTAAGCATCATTTTAAATAACAAAAACATTAAATGATCTTGCATTGACCTTTTCATGTTTTAATATCTAACCCAGTTGTTTATGATACCTATATCCGCTCATTTCCATCACAAAAGAGACGTTCTATTTGTAGCGTCGATGGTACGGGTAATGCTAGCTTTTTTAGTCTGCGCATACTTTTTTATATTGTCAGGTACAAGAGAGGTGTAATTTGCTGGATAGAGTGCAACACTAAACTGAAATGGTGTAGCTGTAGCAACACATAGTCAAATAATAATCGAAATCAATAAGCTGGGTGATGAAACTTGTTGATATTTCCAAATGTATTCTCCAGAGTTATGGCCAATGTTAACGTACAGGTAAATATATGCATTGATGTTTATATTTGATTTTTGAGTCCTAACGAATTTTATTCCACTGATTGTATTTGTCAATCATCTCTTTGTTTCAATTGATTTGACAAACTTTAATGGTGACGCTAATGGTAAATAATAAAAGAAATATTCGAAAAAATAACCAAGATAATAAATTCTTGTAGATGTTTTCAAAGTTGTTCACCAGATTTAAAGCCTATCTACAATGTTGGGTAAATATATGCATTAAGATTGATTTTTTTTATGAGTCCTATCGGTTTGTATCGGTTTGTATTCCTATCAGAGATACCTTTGATGACCTGTGTGGAACAGACAAAAACATCAATGTCTAAATTAAAAACATACTTCTTATAAACTCTATTTTGTCTTTAGTCATTTCATTTATGAACAAAAATCATGCAAATAGACTTGGGCTTACCGGAGAATGTGTTTTTTCGCCTTTTTTCTTGTCGCCACCGACTTTGCGTTTTTCAAACTAAAAACAGAATTGTACTTGTTTCATCGAAGGCTTGTTATTAATGAACACATCACAAAATGCACAAATGTGCTATTTTACAAATGATAGTTCCTTTCATAATAAAATTGGGATTTGAACGTATTTTAATCGAATGTTTAGCTGCGAAATAAGATTAATATAGCAGTTTTACTGTAGAATTTTGCTTTCTGGATTCAAATAACCAAGCCTTTTTTATCTGAAATATCGTTTGCACAGATTATACTTGATTAATTTAAGTATGAATACGATAGATTTTAATTGAGAAATGTAATTTGCGTTTGTAAACAATGAAATAATCTAACAATATTCGAAATAACTATAACAGCTGAGGGAATTCTTATTAATCTGTTAACAGGATAATGATTATAATATGGTTATACTGGGATTGTAAATGTTATTTGCAAGTACAATTTTAAATGGAGGAAATGTACAATCCATGACTGTATTAATATTCTTATCAATATGATTCTAAATATGTATATAATACATAACGGAATATCCTTCCGGAATGATAATTATATGTATATTTATTACATTTTTGCCAGTGAAATATCGAATTATATCAACTTGATAAAACTGATATCTTTCACACTGTGACAAATATTAAAAGTGATATTTTCACAGTGTGAAAATATCACTTTTTGATATTGATCAATCATAACGGTATCTTCTATTCGCTGCATTCAAAGGCAACGATTGTTTTGTTCAGATTCAAATGAAGCGACGGTAGAAAAAGTGGTTGTTATGGTAAATGTTTGGTACACACACTTAAATATTTACATAAATATACAATTTATAACATTTTTATAAGCAATAATACCAGAAAATGGCAGAAAACGTCGGAATTGCGTTGAGTATCCCATTCAAAATAACAAATATATTTGTAATTACTGACGACACCATTAAATATCCTCTATATATTGATAGAATAATAATATATGTATCAATATTAAATTTGTGATAGAGGTCATTGGTTTGAGTTTGGTTCAGGTTCATTCATGTTGACGTGTGTATTAAATAATCATATGCGAAATTTCCTTCTCAATTTCTAGCCATCCGAACTTTTATCGATTGTTGTTCTGTCGCAATTGGGTTTTTTTCGTGGTAGAGAAATATTTTTCTTACTATCAAAGTTTGTCAAATGTTCATTTGTTATCAAGTAAGAAATTATTTCGAATACAATATCAACGTCGCTCGTACGTACCGAACCAGGTGAGGTTGAGTAAGGCCCCTCGGAGCTGGTTTCGAACATTCTTTTTTCATCCTGAAATTATGAATTATATCAAATTGTATCAGATATCCCTAGGTGATCTGCCTGTTAATGTGTGTATGATATCAGATAAAATCACAAAATATTTCCCACTGTATTACAGTCGATTATCATTCATTGCTTTTCCGGAATTAGTGGAGATTTTGTATTCGAGACATGACAATATTCAGGAAATTATGTTGTGTGCATTGGGTTTTTTTCTGTTTCCTCTATTAACATTCTTAATTCAAAGTTCACATATGTGATACAAATAGATTAATAGTGTCTTATTTTACAACTAATAATACTTGTTTCATCATTCGTATTTCGTTGATGGGAAAAGTACATATGTATGTGTAGAGACTGAAAATTCTAAACAGTTATGTGAATATATGGTTACATGGACCTTAGAAAGTAATACTAACCGAGTCGAAGTCGAGGTCAATATAACTTCCTTATGTCCGAGTAACCACATATTCAATTAAACAAAAGTCAATCATTGCTTTATTAGATGCTACATAAAGTTTTAATCTCGAACAATATCAAAAATATGGAAATTGTACAGAGAAAAACACTGCATCTGGCAGGGAGCATTGTATCGTTAAAAATGAATTGACGTCATAAAGTGGATATTAACCTGAGGCTTCTTAAAATAGTAACACCCAGTTATTATCAGAAAGCATCGACGTCCATGTGATTATGATCCAATCAATGAATATGTAAGAAATATATGTGTGTCATATAAGATGAAATGCAATATATCTCCAAATATATTCATGAATATCCGATAAAGGATACAGCTAATTTCTTAAATCTCCTTTCAGATGTACATTTGTACTCGTGTTGACCTTCGTCTGGAAAAGCCGTAAAATAACGCTCCTTTAGTCCTGACTTTTATAGGAAGTAATATTTAAATAGGTAAAGATATAAATAACAGGTCTGACATGTGATCATTTTATTTTTAACATCGGAGGTTATTCTGATCTATATAAAGTAGGTCAAAGATGTTTGAATGACCTGATTGTCAATTCTTCCTGAACACTCACAGTATGTTTTATAGGAGGCGACACAGTTAACCCTTCCACCCCTTGCCGTACAAACAAAGTTATCAATTTCATTATCGGTGTTAACATTATAACGCATTTTTCATTCTCTCCTACTGGTCTTTTCATTTAAGTCTTATTATACGAGAAAAAAAAATGATAATCATCAACAAGTCAGATAAATTCTAATATAAATCTTAAAATGAAGTGCGTCACGTAATCTTATTCACTCACCACTGATTGCATTTGTCAATCATCTCTTTGTTTCAATTGATATGACAAACTTTAATGGTGAAGCTAACGGTAAATACTAAAAGAAATATTCGAGAGAGCAAAAAAAGATAATAAAAATCTTGTATATGTTTTCAAAGGTGTTCACTAGATTAATATATGCATTTAGATTTATATTTAATTTTTTGACGAGTCATATCGGTTTATATTCCTATCAGAGATACCTTTGATGACCTGTGTGGAACAGACAAAAACATCACTGTCTAAATTAAGAACATACTTCTTATAAACTCTATATTCTCTTTAGTCATTTCATTTATGAACAAAAATCATCTTAGCGTTCTTCAAACTAAAAACAGAATTGTACTTGTTTCATCAAAGGCTTGTTATTAATGAAGACATCACAAAATGCACAAATAAGTTATTTTACAAATGATTGTTCCTTTCATAATAAAAATGGGATTTGAACGTATTTTAATCGAATGTTTAGCTGCGAAATAAGATTAATATTTGCTTTCTGAATTCACAATGGTACTATAATAATGCAATTTTGATTTTTCAATATCACTGCTTTATATTATTCTTGCTGTTTGCACGAACCTGCTTACTAATGTATGTATATAGTTTTTGCAATTAACAATTTTTTAGCATATCAACAATCTGCTATATACATGAATATAAATGAAAACTTCTTTTTTAACAGATATAAAACCACCTATATAGGTGAGATCTAATTTACTGGTTGATTTCACATATGATTATATATGCGTTTTTTAATAACCAAGCATTTTTTATCTGAAATATCGTTGGCACAGATTATACTTGATTAATTTAAGTGTGAATACGATAGATTTTAATTGAGAAATGTAATTTGCGCGTATGTATACAATGAAATAGTCTAACAATATTCGAAATAAATATAACAGCTGATGGAATTCTTATTAATCTGTTTACAGGATTATGATTATAATATAGTTATACTAGGATTGTAAATGTTATTTGCAGGTACAATTTTAAATGGAGGAAATGTACAATCCATGACTGTATTAATAATCTTATCAATATGAATCTAAATATGTATATATACTTCCCGAATGATAATTATATGTATATTTATTACATTTTTGCCAGTGAAATATCGAATTATATCAACTTGATAAAACTGATATCTTTCACACTGTTACAAATATTAAAAGAGATATTTTCACAGTGTGAAAATATCACTTTTTGATATTGATCAATCATAACGGTATCTTCTATTCGCTGCATTCAAAGGCAACGATTGTTTTGTTCAGATTCAAATGAAGCGACGGTAGAAAAAGTGGTTGTTATGGTAAATGTTTGGTACACACACTTAAATATTTACATAAATATACAATTTAGAACATTTGTATAAGCAATAATACCAGAAAATGGCAGAAAACGTCGGAATTGGGTTGAGTATCCCATTCAAAATAACAAATATATTTGTAGTTACTGACGACACCATTAAATATCCTCTATATATTGATAGAATAATAATATATGTATCAATATTAAATTTGTGATGGGGGTCATTGGTTTGAGTTTGGTTCATGTTAATTCATGTTGACGTGTGTATTAAATAATCATATGCGAAATTTCCTTCTCAATTTCTAGCCATCCGAACTTTTATCGAGTGTTGTTCTGTCGCAATTGGGTTTTTTGGTGGTAGGGAAATATTTTTCTTACTATCTAAAGTTTGTCAAATGTTCATTTGTTATCAAGTAAGAAATTATTTCGAATACAATATCAACGTCGCTCGTACGTACCGAACCAGGTGAGGTTGAGTAAGGCCCCTCGGAGCTGGTTTCGAACATTCTTTTTTCATCCTGAAATTATGAATTATATCAAATTGTATCAGATATCCCTAGGTGATCTGCCTGTTAATGTGTGTATGATATCAGATAAAAACACAAAATATTTCCCACTGTATTACAGTCTATAATCATCCATTGCTTTTCCGGAATTGGTGGAGATTTTGTAATCGAGACATGACAATATTCGGGAAATTATGTTGTGTGCATTGTTTTTTTTCTGTTTCCTCCATTAACATTCTTAATTCAAAGGTCACATATGTGATACAAATAGATTAATAGTGTCTTATAATAACTCTTATTTTACAACTAATAATACTTGTTTCATCATTCGCATTTCGTTGATGGGAAAAGTACACAACGTAAGTGCAGGCAAATTCGCCTTGCACCCAAATTCGCAACCCTGTGACGAAAATGCCATATGACGTCATAATACATAAGATGTGACGTAGATAACGTCACCATAGTCTTCAATACAGTTAAAGCCTTCAAAAATTTTGACAAGAAGAGGTATAAGATGGGAAAAGTTATTTCATTAATCAAAACAGTTATGAAATAACGCAACGAATCTTAAAGAAAATGTTCTGTGCGGCAGGCATATGCCCAGAACTTCAAGGTTCCAAACAATTTCAGAAATCGAATTCGCGAAAATAACCCCTGGGAAGAAATTCCGTTCACATAGTCGCAAAATTTACATTCGCGAAATTAAATAACTATAAAGTATTTGTATTGTTTTAATTTCACTACTTTCTCGGTCGTGAAACTCCAGTTCATTTTCAAGCATGTGATATGAATATTGAAATAAATGTATATGAGCGTATTATTACCCTATGGAAATATTAAAAACGCTTTACTTACACAAGAAATAATATTGAAAATTTGATAACTTTGAAGTGTAAAATAGACCCGCCCATATTGAATGGGACATCCGATATCCTTAAAAACGCCAAATATGTGAAATTCTTAGTTAACTCACTGTGATCTTGCCGCAAGAGAGAATTAATATATCGTTTGAAAGTATTTCAATGCTTATTTTCTACAACTTAATCAAAATGTATCCATTATTCCTTCTTGTATTCATTTAAATATAAAAAAAAAATCAAGAAACAAGACATCGGTGTGTGTATGTCCTATGCTGTATTGTAAGTAACCAAAAGCGAGTTACCTCCCTTTAATTACTTTATCGTTTACATATATGTATTTTCATTTCAAAATATCTATAAAATATATTTAGCTATAGTTCTATAATATTCTTGCAATACTCTAGCCACCTTTTGAAAGAATTTATATAGGCTTTCCTGTTATTCGATCCATTTGACCATAACACCATGTCAATAAAATCTGTTGAAATGAAATCAATTTTGTGAAACGTTCTTTCTATGTATACCGTCATCACGCAATATTAAGTCGTCATAGCTATGTCATTATTAGATATAGCTATGTCGTTAATATCAAAACGCAATATCGATATTACGAGATAGTAAGTATTTTTCAAGACAGATATTTTTTTATTTTATGAGCCGTACCCGTTCCCATAGACATCAGATGAGTTTACAGTCTAACAAGATTTACTGATGTCATGAAATAATCATTACAATATACAATATTAAGTTACAAATATATACTGCAAAACCATTCACAACAAAGTCCGATCTCCATAAATTACAAGCCCTACCAGGATCATGTGCTTTTTGCGAAGACACATAGTTTATTCTATTGTAAAAACTATTAATCAGAAAATAGCTTTATTTTGATATGATTTTGTTTTACCGACGGTGTCCACTAAAATCATCTCTGAATGTATTTTATGTTTATTTTGCTTTTTAAAAAAACAATATTTATGTTTTCCATATATTTATGTAATGTTCGATACTGTTAATCTGACAAATTATCAAGAACAAAAGAAATATAAAGCAGAAGTAACGGGACAGTTATATGTGAAAGGTAATGCTTGTAAAATAATGTACTTTGTAATGTTGCAAGCGACCTTTAAGATTGCTTGATGCTGGGTGTAAGCGGCCTTAATAAAAGTACTTAACGAACGCCATCTTGATATATGTGTGTTGTGACTTTTCAATGCTTCGTTATTATAATTGCATACATGTTATCATAAAAAAATGACAAGCTTATGACAAATATTGGGACAAGTGTGTGAGAATCAATATAAAGCTGCCTATATGAATGTTTTGTATGTTAGAAGGACGAATTAGTTCCGTGATGCAGTGTAATTCATTTACGCATTATCTATACCCAAAATTTAGACATGTTACGTTCACCCTTTAGTAATTCTGCTGTTAAGGATACCTGTTCCACTGTTTACAAAACGCTAGAGAGTTCCGATGTAGTTTTTCGAACATACAGTAACCTTCACTGAGCTTTGTTATGGATACAACTGTAGCGCGGCTTGGCCAGGTTACTACTGTTGACTTAGTTGGTCAGGGCGATAGTACATGTATATTAATCGTAAACACAGGGTTCCAATCCAGGTCTGACCCTGTTACATTTTTACACTCCGAACAAAGTTTTCTTTTTCATAAAAGTCTCTAAGGATTTTCCCGCTGATTATTTAGCAATGCTTTAGTCTTGTCGGAAAGAAGTTTCCAGGAAATAGTTACTGTTTTTAGCGGTGATACGGGGATCCTCGATTATTTATGTAATATAAATGTGACCGTTTGATCTTACCCAAGGTTCATCAATGTGCAATAAGACATCGTACAGTTGACAATGATTCATACTCTTATACGATTTAAACTTATTATTACAAATAAACAGTTATCGTATCTCCATTGATTTTGTCATAACATTTACCAGGGGTGAGCGTAACCATCGAAATTTCTAGGATGATTGTTATGGGGATCAATGCCTCTACGTCAAGATTTTTAATAAAAAATAATTTTTGTTTTTGATAAAGCAATGACATTCTTTAATTGTGACATAACATGAACTAGAATAGTGTTAAGATCACTTGTACTTACCGAAGATTCGGTGGTAAACTGACGACGGAAAAGAGGTTGTTTCTCCGGTCCTTTTGGCCCATCCTGCGGCGCTTTTTTCTGAAAAACACCAAAACAAAAAAGAAATTGAAAATGACACCTAGAATATTGAACACTGGGAATATTTCGCCCTATAATGTTTTCCCTTATCTTTATTATTTAGGGCCACTGTCGCCCAGGTATGCTTTGTATGTATATTCACAGATATGCAGATTTTGTCTTCATTACGAATGATATTCAAAATATTCAAATTTAAGAATAATAAAAATTATAATAAAATATGAAAAATGAAGATAGTGAGAATCATCAAGTGATGAAGGATGTAGCAAGTAATTACTTACCAGAGTAAAACCCGAGGCCAAAGAGGCCAGGCAAACAACAACAACAACTAGACAGAGCTTCATCGTGTGTCCAAGACTTCAAGGTGAAGATAGCTCTCTAAGACACATCACTCTCTTTAAATACACATTTCGACAGACTTTAACCTAATTACTATGACGTATGTGTGTCGGTTTTAATTACTTAATTACTCAAATTTGATTTCCCTTGCTTGTTAAGGTAATTTTGATTGCTGATCAATGTATTCTGTTTCGGTTTGTTCTCAACTAAGTATTGTTTTCCTTTATGGTGTATTTGTATACAACCTTTTTAAAAAGCAGAACACATGGCCTATTTGCTTTAAAGAAAAAGTATCGATTTACTTGAACGAACGATGACATTCCCATGATACCATTTGTTAACAAAACCAGACTAATATGTCAAAATATCCCCTGCTATGATTTGAGTATTAACAGAACCTGCAATTATAAGAGTAACGAGCTAGCCGTGCTTTGTATCAGTGAGTTCAAAGATTCTCTTGTAATATTGTCACCAATTTAACTATTGTTATACTTTCTGAAAGAAATGTATTTCAATTTTGGTTTGACATTAAAAGCCATTTCTATTTTGACAATATGACAATCGTACAGAAAATAAGTCTCACCTGTCAATTGTTTCAAAAATTCATTTGAGATCTAAATAGAAATATTATGTTAACATCTTCATATATACTTTACATTAACAATACACTAATTACGCCATACATGAGCTAGTCTTGACCGTTTTTGGTAAGTGCATGTTAAAAGAGAAAGAGACCCTGGGAATAGTATTGTAGCCATGCTCTAACTATCGCCTTATTGATAACGTGAAGGAATTACTAGATATCCTTTGTCCTAGAGAATCAACTGTAAGCATAGTCAGTTTGGTAGTTTGGTTTCGAATCTATTCACTTTCTATTCCCACCGCCATACCATTTTCTATGGAGGAAAAAAGCTATAATGAATTTACCATTTAATGGATGAAATGCCCTATAGTTAAATTGATATATATAATGTTGTTTGTTTCTTTCTGTATTGGCATGCTGGATATTTTGTATGCATGGTTCTTACTCATCAGATCAGTTGTGATTGATTGCAATTATCATCAAAGCATTAATGTTGATAGCAAAATAACGGATTTGTTTTTGTCAGTTCTGGTTCATGGTACATACAAGAAAAAGAAAAAATCCTATATTAACCCGATACTTCAATATTGGCCTGATAGAATGCAAGTTTAACATCCAAACTAGTTATACCATGCTAAGCTGCGGCATATACCATATGTTCCATATTCCGACTATGCATGGATAATCGGATTCGCGGCTGTTGCTGAAAATTTTAAACAGCAAGCAGATTAATGACAGATAACTAATGGGGAAACTGGAGTAAAGGTGGATGTACACAAGGATAGTCGGCTACGTACAAGCTGAATATATAGACAATCGGGTTATTAGTATCATGCTATTGGGAAAGCCGATTTGTGGCTGCTGGAAGTGTGATCACTGGGCAATTAGTGGTTGGATATTAGGACAACTGGATTAGTCCGTGGCAGGATACTGGGTCAATCGGGTTAGTGGTGGCTGAATAGATTTGTAACCGGAGAATGGATGACAGGATAGTTTGACAACCGGGTTAGTTGTTGCTATATAATTTCATAACCGGGTTAACGGTAGTTTGATCGCAGGAAAACCGGGTTAGAAGTTATTTTGAATAGCGAGGCAAGCAAGGTTATATATATATGTTTGTTGACTGAAATAACGAGGCTCAAATACATCCTATTTTGAATTTGCTATTGTATCCGAATATCATATATCGAAAACCCTGACGAAAATCGAAAATGTTTCAAACAATCTCCCAATGATAATGTTAACATGAACATAGCAATTACATACTTTTCTAAAATTACTTAATAACACGAAAGAGAAATATTTTTGCATATGTACACATTCACTGTAAAGAAGAACAATGCTCATGACGTCATCAATTTTTGAAATTGAGTGACGTCATCAATTTGTAGATGTGCTATTGTTATGACATCGTCGCTTGTTAATGTTTACCGTTAACTAAGTGAATTTATTAGGACCTCGGAATAAATATACGTCATTCATGCAAAAGGGCCTGATGACGCAAAAATTTCAACAATTGTATTCTTCAAAAAGATGATTTTTTTAATACTGGTAATCGCCACAATGACACCTTGACTATGTTTACTTATTAGTGTATATTTCTTATCAATTTATGAATATATTATCTCTAATAATTCTACATTCACGGTCAACTTATGTATTTATTATAGTCACGGTTATAAGTAACGTATGTAGTGCAGGTAGTACAGGTGTACTAGTGTCCGGATATGAGGCCGAGGTGACACAGGTAGCCGCGTGAGGCGGGACGGGTGATGTGTAACCGCACGTGTTACAGGTGCGACACGGGTGTCTATAGAGTAGTAAATGTAGTTTAAGGGTTACATATTCATTTGAGTCTTGACGGTTCAACGATTCACTTCAAGAAATTATATTTCCTTTTGTTAAATCATAGAGTTATGGAATTTCCCCGTTTCCTTAAGACAGGCACAAACTCATGGGAAGATTTAGGAACGAGATTTCCTAGCGTCTGCCAGGATCCGGACTCAGGATGAAGAGAAGAGAGAAGGGAAGGAGGATCGGACACGTGCCCTTTGTATTTCATGTACTTGTTCCTTTAATAAAATGATTGACCGTCGAAGGCCACTACCATACATATGTGTTGAGTTTTATATGATAAATGCTTAATGTTCGGTTGAATGTAGTGAATTAGAATCATAAGTTATTATATGTAAAGTCATCAAAATTCGTGTCTTATTAGGATGTTTTCAAATAGTTCTTAAAAAAAAACACGTTTTATACGATCTTCTAAAATCTGATATGGGTAATATCGTGGGAGGAATATTTAAAACTATAAGTATCCAGATGTTGGTAAAATAGAATTATTCTTGTCACTATTGATCACAAAGGTGATAAAGATAATTAGAGCTCATTTGCAATGACAACTGTAAACAAGAGATAATTTGTTAGTAACTGTATCGTGATATATCTATATAAAGCTTACGTTAGTTCTGTGAACAATAAGACTACTGACCTGACCTACATGGCTGTCTGACAGCTACTGTACGCTATTGTTTCTCCAAGGTCACTTTATATTGTGATATATAGCTTAAGACGAAAATTGCTTAATTACGTACCCGATGTCTCGTTCTCTTATTAGCTGTAATGTATTTGTCCGAAAATTAAGGGGGGGGGGGGGGGTTGTCAACCACGTACACAACCAATGCATATACAAACGGTATCGATTGTGGAACATGAACGCTGGAATTCTATTTCTTTCTTTTTTTGTAAAATGTTGTTCATATAGATCATGCGATATTCAAATTATGAAGTTCAAAAACACAATGAACAGAAGTATGGTTATTTGTCGTTTACTATCACGAAGTTGAATTTAGAATTTTGATAAAGGCTTACAAATAAATAGATTAAAAAGGATTTTAAGGCCATATTTTGATAAGTGTAAATATGATATGGAATGCACTTGAAATTCTAAAACGTCTTACCACGAAAGTACACTGATACGAAATCTCGTTTGAAGTGATCTGAAAGGCCGAAAATCGGCACTTCGACATGGTGTTTGGTGATGTATGGTTAAGCCAATCGTCGACTAATGTTAAATTAATTTTACCGCTTATTCGTGAAAGAATTTTTGACCAAGGTCAACAACATTTAAGAGGTTTACTAGAGACTTCCTCTAAGTGTTTTTTATACAAGTGTATCGTAGACCACTTTTCCATTCAGTATTATTTAACCATATATATTTCTAAGAATTATAGAATTAGTCTAACAAAGTTACGAATGTCTGCACATTCATTAGCAATCGAGACCGGTAGATATCGCAACGTTATTCGAGAACAGAGATATTGTACGAACTGCAATTCGGCTACAGAAGTCGAAGATGAATACCATTTTATTCTGATATGTAAAACCTACCAAAACTTAAGAAGTCGCCTTATTAAAAAGTACTACTGGAAAAAGCCATCCATGTTTAAATTTATACAATTATTGTGTGTTAACAATACTAAGGAATTATGTCAACTTGGAAAATATATTTTTGAAGCTAATAAGTTAAGAATCTACTCCACTCTCTCATTGTGTATTGTGAGCCGTGTTATTGTGTATATTATGCATTGTATTGCTATATTTGTACTGATGGGCCGAAAGTTAATAAATGAATTGAATATACTTATCAGACTCTTTTCTCAACGTCAATGGGTCATCAAATTAACTTGACCCCACTGTCAATTAATGTACACAAATTAAAACACCTGTTGCCATATGAAGCTTGATAATTGTCTTTACAATTTAGACAAAAGCTACAGCGCGCGCTGATCTATGACGGCCCCGATTATGTTTACGCAATCAGTGTCAGCCACAATACACAAGTGAGTAGACAGATTGTTTTTTGGGACAAAGATACAGATTTTCCCCATTTTTAAAAACTTAGTAGTCAATTTAGTAGCCACATCGTATTTTTAGTAGCCAATAAAAAATAAAAAATATCCGATAGCGCGAGCCCATTTGGACGAGAGGTCACCTGTATTTAGATATCTATAGAGACCACTTTTAAACATCGCCATCGAATTTATTTTCATATCTATCTGAACAGGTATCACATGATGGATTATTTGACTTATATATCTCTGCGGACTATCTTAGGACACTATTATATATGCATATTTAGTTTCTTTTCATCGAATTGGATTTGTAATATAATATACAATATATCAGATGCTTGTGTAGAACTATTTAAAAACTATAAAAGTGGTTATTTCCAAGGATGAAATAACTGCCACGTGTGAAAACTATAGCGAAATAACTATTCGGCCTGCTATAACATCAAAAGAGTATCTCGGTAGATGGTAAGCATATTTCAGAAGAAACACAGAGCAAATAAAACGGTAAAGCATGAGAGCGAAGAGCAGTTCGCAAAAGGAGTGTTCTCCAGGCAATAGACCGAGGGCTTACACCCAAATATTTTAACCCTTTTTGTAAAAACAATAAATAGAAA